TGTTCTATTGACGGACTGATTGCAGTATTAGCAAACCTTGCATGTTCTAGGTGGGGCACTATACCCCTGGGTTGCATACTCAACTGCAAATGGTTTTTATTAACTTGTTTCAACATTGTCTTTCTTTAGTGTAACGAACCAGCTCTTCTTAGTGTACCAAACCTAAAAGTGAAATAAAGCCCCTTCAGTTAAGGCATGAAATGACAGCACGATACTTGACTGATGGCTGAGCTTTTTCACCTGAACTCTGCCCCTTTCTCATGTAAAAGTTACTTCAAACTGGCAGTGTAGCTCAGTTGGTAGAGCATTTACCTAAGGTTCACAATAGCCTGAATTTGATCCCCAGGCCTATATAAATTGAGTATGGTAGTGTGTGCCTGTGATCCCAGGAGTGGAGAGGATTCCAGGGTCATCCCTGGTGACACAGGAGAGTCTAGGCCAACCTGGGCTACATGAAACTATGTATTTCAAAATAAAACAAAACAGTATAACAGCACATGGTTGTAATCCCAGTAGATGGGGAATAGAAGCAGGATGAGAAGTTATTCAAGACCATCCTTGGCTACATACCAAGTTTTAGGGCAGCCTGGGCTACATGAGACCCTGTTTAAAAAACAAACAAACAAAAAAGGCCCAAATGTTCACAGAGGATCAAGTTCAGGGCTTTATATCTAAGTGACCAATGAAAAGTCTTTAAGGTAGTAAACAGGGAAATGAGACTAGACTGTCATGGAAACCACCAAAATAGCTAAAATGAAAAAATGGTGATGCTAATTACTGGGAAGAAGATGAAGTCACTGGAAATCTTGAGCCAACCAGGAGGAATCTTAAACTAATACAACCACTTTAAATAGTTGTTCAGCTGTCTTGCCAAAGCTAGTTGTAAATGTGAAGCTCCTTTAATTAGCTATTCATTCATTGGTACTAATAAACAGAAAAATGTCAGCCACTTCCACTGAAAAGAGTGCACACAACTGTTTGGCTTGGCCAAACACCAGAAACTCTCCATATTATAGAATGGGCTTCGGAGTTACGTCATCTCACACTGAAATTCTGTGTCATGTGAGAATAAGTAGATTACAAACACCTGTGATGAGATGAGTGCCTCTCACAGGCATGGTGTTAAACAAGAGAGATTTGTCTCCATCTAGGTGTGGGTCCCCTACATGTGTTTATACTGTGCAAACTCTTGTGGAGGCTGGGGTGTAGCTCAGTGAGTCGGTGCTTGCTTACTGTAGGCCACTTTTCTCTCGCGCCAGCCACTCCCCAAATAACCACACAGGGACTCGATATTAATTATAAATACTCAGCCAATAGCTTAGGCTTGTTTTTAGCTAGCTCTTAAAACTTAAATGAACCCATTTCTATTAATCTGTGTGCTTTTCCAAGGCTTGTTACCTCATGTAATTACTTCCCATCCTGCTCACTCTGCATCTCATGGTGTCTCCTCTGACTCTGCCCTTCTTCTTCCCAGCATTCTCTCCACCCTGAAAATCCTTCCTAGCCATCGGCCAATCAGCTTTTTATTAACAACGAGAGCAACACATCTTCACAGTGAACAGAAGTATTATTCCACAGCAGCTTACCATGGACAAGACCCTGGGTCTTTTGTTCACAGCACTAGACAAAAGAATTCAATCAATCTTGTACTTTTTTTTTTTTAACAAGGCTTCTCTGTCTGTCTAGCCTTGGTTGTCCCAGAACTCACTCTGTAAACCAGGCTAGTCTTGAACTCAGAGACCTGCCTGCCTCTGCTGGGATTAAAGCTCTGTGCCTTATACTTGTGTGTTCTCCTTTTCTCCCTTCCCCCGCTCCCCCGGGTCTCTTGTAGCTGTAGCTGGCTTTGAATTTGATAGATAGCAGAAGATGCCCTGAACTTCCAATCCTCCTGTCTCAGTCTCCTAGATTTGGACACTTTCCTCCATAGGTCGTACACCTCGGTAAAAACTTGAATGAATGAAGGCTGATTGCTTTTGTTTACTTGTTTTGTAAAGGTGTGACCTTTAGTTTATTACTGCTCCTTATTGAACTCACTAAATGAGAAGTTTTTTCACTTAATTAAGTAGATCCCATTGGATCAAGTAAAATAAGCTTGTATAGGATAGAGGATTCCTGTGTCAAAAAAACTGGGCTGTCTCTTATCTGTGAATCTTTTTTGTTGGTTTTGTGTATGCGTGTGTGCTGAGACTCGAACCCGTAGCCTACTGCATATTAAACACACTGAGGTACCCACTCAGTGTACCACTGAGCTATGCTGCCAGACAAAGGAGAATAATCTTTTGTTTGTTGCTTTTGAGACAGGATCTTCCTGTGTAGCCCAGGCTAGCCTTGAACCTATGAGGGTTCTCCTGCCTCAGCTTTCCATGCTAAGATTACAGGTATACATCACCATGTCCAGTTGGGAATAATGTACATTAACAACAACAACAACAACAAGCCGGGCGGTGGTGGCGCACG